TAGCGTGGCACTTGTTACTACTAGCTTCTTGTTACTACTAGTAAGGCACCTGTTACTACTAGTAAGCCACCTTTTGGTGACAGCTTCTCTCACTCTGAGTTGTCCAACCCTCGCCCGCGACCGGCGGGTTTAGCTGATTATTTTTTCCCCATCCAAAGACGATGGGTGCCTCATACGCACAGCTGAGATGGACGGCCAATACACCACTTGAGATCATTTGAGGGCCGGACTGGGATTTCTGGATGCGGCTGGCTACTCTACAACCTGTGGACATCTCCAGACATCTCAAGACTAGCAGGACTCCCACGACCCGATTCCGAGCCGCAGGGGGGGAACGATCGATGAAAGCGCCATCATGTGCTGTTGTTCTCATCGCCGAGCTTTCTTCAGGTACGCGGCCTCTGCATTGTGATGCATCGTGGCTGCTCTTGGCGCTCAATGATTCGTGAGCTGGACACTTGAGGCTGTCCTGCTATGGTGGGAGGGCGCAACAGAGTACTTGGTGCAGTCTGGAGAAAGCACCACGGTGAACGATGAGAACACAGTCGTGTCATTCTCTCAGCTCTTGCTCATCGGGGAGATTCATATTTAGCACATTCATTGCTTCATTTTCCATCCGTGATCCAACATGCCTAAGCTTGTTTTGTTGACCCCCATCCAGGCAAATTCTCCAGAACCCATGCGTCATACAGCCCAAAAACACCTCCCCCTTTTGGAACCACCATCCCGACCCATGAGGTGCTTGATCCGATCCTCCCACGAAGAAGTGGAGGTCCGGAAGTCCTGAATGCCGGTGGGGCGACCTGGGATGACCTGGGACGACAGGTCCCAACTGGCAGGGCAGCAGACTGCAATGAAAGCCATAGACCACCACCACCCACGTGTACCAATACGGGTTTATGGGACTTATATCATATACATTCATAAACCAATGGGATTGATAAGCAGACTGCAATGATGTATAAGTCCCATAGACCACCACCATTGATTTAGCCTATGCCTGTCTCTGGGAGGCCAACACGTTTCAGCATGGCAGCGTTGCTTAGGATGCTTAGGATGCCTACGTATCTCGTTCGTGTGGACAGAAACTCCGCAGCTGTCCTGGCTCAAACGTATTGGGCTAGAGAGTTGATTCTAAACGCAGTTGCATCCTCACAAGCCACAAAGATTGACACGTTCAGCAGCAAGATAAGAAGTGCCTCTCACTAATGACTCAAACTGCGACCTGTAACTGTAATGAAGCATGCAGAACACGGGCAACCACTCTGGGTGATGCGCCCTTGTCTTCTTTTTGCTTTACTGACTTCAACTGCAATCCATTGTTCTTCATGGCCATGGATGCCGTGGGTGTCATCGCCATCCGGATGGGAGTTAGACAATTTGTATGACCTGCACTCGTCTCGGAACAGGAAATTCCCGGATCTGGGTGGCACCAACATCTGAAAGACTCTCCATGACTCTAGCATTAGCATCTGGGTGCTTTGCCATGAATCAACCCAGGATGGGACTCTACGGATCGCGAACCCCTTTTCCACCCTCCGACCTGAACCGGGGCGACGCCTGCGTCCCCCGCGCCCCGCGGCGCGGCCGCTTGCGCCAGCCCTGCGCCGCGGCGCTCGCCATGGCGTCGGAGGCGCTGAGGAAGGCCGGGCAGGTGCAACATCTGGCGGCCATGCAGGCGTGCAGAGAGGGTGACCGGGGTGGAGGCTTTGAGACTGTTGTAGGGCGGAGGTCTGAGTTGGACCTCTAAGAATGATTGACCTTTTAGATCCTTGCATCAACCGAAAACCTAGCTTATATGGCTGTTTACCTTCAACCATATGGGCGATGTTCCGCAGTTTTTCTGGGCGATGTCTTGGAATTTCTCCCTCCGGACATCAACAGGACCAGTTGACCAGTCTTCTTGGACTCCTGGAGTGAGCTTGTGCTCTGCCCGGATGTGCGACAGGATGCCTTGAAGCAGTTCGACCTCCCTCGGATTCGCGCGCGAAGGTGGGAGCCTGGCATGCCGGTGGAAGAGGCGGGCTGTCCAAGGGGGTAGAGCCAGACCGAGTGGTGTTGACTGATAGAGGCTTTTGGTATATGATATTCTTTTGGGATGCTTTGCTTTTCCACGAACTTGATGACTTAATGATCATTGGTGGTCATTTGGGCCATGCCCAACAGACAGGAATGGCCTTGAACATGGCACCGTTTGATGGTGTTTTCCCTGATGGTTTCCGAACCTTCCGTCCGCACCCTCTCGGTCTGTTGGGGCTAGCGGATCAGCCGGTGCCAGGGCTGGAAGCTCATCCATTGGATTCGCCATGGCCAGGCCGGGGGCTTTGGGTTTCACCTCGCCCACGACCCACGACCCACGACCCCCTCTCTGACCCACGAAAACCCGCGAAAAGGGTCGGGTCTCGATGAAAGAAAAAAGGAGGAGGAGTGGGATTGCGTTCCATTTCCATTTCCTTCAGTAGAGGTTAGTTACATCAGGTGTACGGTATATTACGGTATATACCTATTACATCGATCCTTTCAGTTATGGTGGTGTTGTTTCAGGCTTATGTAATATTGAGCTGAATGCATGAAAAAGTAGGGCGTTAAACTTAGAGAAGACCGAAAAGGAGGTTCTACGAAACAATGATAATTTTGTGTTCCTATATAGTAATTACTGCATAGGCTTTATATTCAATGGCGAGTTAGTAGAATGGCCCGATCCATTGCCTCCTACTACTACCCAAAATGTGTAGCATGCTATGACACATCAGACGGAATCCACGAAGCACTTTGCCCAAAGCTGTCACAGGTTTCGAATGAGTCTGGCCAAAAACCAGGAACGCAGGTTTTGGCCAGTCTTCCATGCCACGTTTGCTGGACATACCTCCAATTCGTGTAGGTCGATGGGTCACAGGATGTGCTGCAGGGTTCTTCCAGATTTTTGCCTCCTTCCTCCTCCTGCTCCTCCTCCTCCTCCTCCTCCTCCTCTGGGTTCAATTCGGGTGTGTTTGGGGTCCAAGCGAACCGGAACTACGTCGGGGTCCACCGGATGCATGGCACCACCGGGCCACAGCCTTGGCAGGGCTACCACAACTTGTTGGCGGAGGCCATGCGCTCGGTCGGCTGTGCTTTCTCCGAGCTGGGCGACTACGAGGAGGCCACCGGGGGCGCCATCGATGGATCTGTGCGTTTCTGCGCTTCTGCAGCTGGGGTGCTTAGGGTTGATGGGATGGTTGTGGAAGACTCGCTTTGGTGGCTTTGGTGGCCAATTGAGCCTTTGATCTCCATAGCACTGGAATGGCATGGTTTTTTTTGTTCTGCTATGACGTTTCTTGATCAGACTCTGTCCCGGTTGGGATACCCCTTTCAACAACGCCTTGAGGCTCGAGATGTTGCATAGGCAAGAAGCATCCGATTCCCAGCAACACTGATCATGGAATCATGGGAGGTCTCATTCAAAGGCCTTCGTCTTTGAAGTGAATCAACCAGGTTGTTCAGGAAAAGAGAGGGGAAGCTATCCAGATCGCAGTAATTTGGACTCTTGATGACTGCGCCCCCCAATTGAATATTTTGAATTGAAACACCTCTCCATGTGGGGGTTATTGATCAAGAGTCTACATTATCCAGATGAACATGGGTCCATGATCAATGATCCAGTCATCCTGCTTTCCACCGAACGACTGGTCGTGGCAGTGACCAAAGGCGAAGAAGGCGGCCTTCCATCCATACGTCAACGCTGCTGGGCTTATTTTTGTTGTGTTGTTTTTATCATTACTTTGGGTGTGTAGCTTATGGGTTGGTGGAACATAGAACTTTTAAGGCAGTGATTTGTTTGTAGAACAGGTTGCTTGTTCCAGTATCGGCTTGCCTTGGCCAGTATGGAGTTGCTTCAGATTGTTCAAGAGCAGACCCGAAACAAGGCCCGGTTCGTCGCGGAGCAATGCCACTTCAACCGTTTCCCTGTGGCAGGAGTTTCAATCAACGTTTTTCTTGGACATCGCGGATTCTGCGACTACAGACCTACCGACCCTACCCAAAGCAGTGAGGCTTCTGACGCATGTTTTCCACATCTGAGGATGCGATCGTGGACCCACCCCTGACTTGCTTAGGCATCCAAGATGCCAAGGCCAGGAATCCGAAGACCTGTGGGGTCACTGTGAGTGCGTTCCAGCAATTTCCTTGCACCTCTCGCTGGTCCGCTGTCCGTCCGCTGGTCCGCTGGTCCGCGGTGGTTGTGGACACCGTCCGTCCGCCCCCGTGGAGGACCTTTGGCCCAAAGCCAAGACTTTGAAGCCCGAGCTGCTGGTGGTGTCGCCCCTGAAGCGGGCGTCGCTTGGGCTCGGAGTTCGCTGCGCTGAGTAGAGGTTGAGTAGGCCGGATGGATCGAAGAAACGGGTCTGGTGACTTGAGTTCGAGCTCTTTCCAATTTCCAATTGCACACACTGGGAAGACATCACCATGATTCCAACATCCTTGATACCCCCCCTCTTGCTTCATTGAGAAAACCATCCGATTTCACCGATGGATCACCGCACTCAAACCCCGCCCGACCTCCTTCTTCTCGGTCCGCGCATGATCGTCTCGAGCTCCTCGGTCGGGTCGGGTACCGTACCGAGGAGCGAGACGATCATGATTGGCTTCAAGGAGGCGATCCAGCAGGGTGTGCCACTGATGGCCCATGACGCTTGCACCTCGCTCGCTCGGTTGGAGAAAACACCGGGACACGCCGGTTTACCTCTTACGTGTTCCTTTTCGGTTCGTTCCTTTCGAAGGTGGACGATTGATCCGGAGGTTTTTTTTGGGGGGTCGTTTCGGAGAAGCCCAAGTGGTGTAGACTAGACCGGTTTGGTGTTCAACGGCACCAAGAGGTGAAAGTCTGGGAAGGACTGTGGTTAAATGGATTATCAGGCATTTTAAGGTCTTAAAATATGTGTAATGGTTTGTTGGTTTCTTTTTGCCATTTGTTTATTCAATGACTCTGTTATTTGCAGTATAGTTTGAAGCTGAGTTTTCCTTCACAGCTTATGTGTGCTCGTTCGCTCTATTCTTTTTGGCACATGCCTGGAAAACATGGTGTTTGCTTGTTGCCCCAAGAAGAACTCCAAGACATTTGATAACATGCATATTCTCTTCAACTTGAAAGGACTTGCAGGGGAGTCAGTTGTGTAGTATCCTCCCCCAAGAGGATTGATACTCCATGAACCACGTGCTTTCCCTTCCCTTAAGCCCGGTCCTAAACCGAGCGTGCCTTCCCCTCGTGCCTTCGAGGCCGGGAGCAGTTCGGCGTGCACGTGTGCGACCGCCGCGGCACGCGCACGGACTACGCGGAGCGCTGGCCTCACGTGGACGTCTCGTGTGTGACGCACGACGAGGAGACGCTGGAGCGGACGGCGGTGGAGCGCGGCGCGTCGTTGTGGTGCGACCGAAGGCGGATGGGGTAGGGGTAATTGCGGGGAGGAAGAGAGGGAAGGAGCTTGGAAGGAGGGGCTTGCCCTGGGGGCTGCCCTCCATGATATCCAGATATATCCACTAGCACTGGAGGCGCTGGAGGGATGTATTCATGATGCAATATAGGCTTAACACATTGACATGTTGTTCTTTTTTTGGGAACATGGAAAGGAGGAAGCCAAGGCACGAGCTGGCGCCGTTGCGATGTCTACTGTATCGCATTGCGCAGGATACATGGCGCAGGCGTTGCGATGTCTCGCCAGTTGTCAGTGTTTCCACACACAGCGAATTTGCAGCCATTTGATGCCTTTCGCAGATGGAACAAAGGGTCAACTTTGAAGAACCATACATAAAGCAATATGACAGAATCCCCAGTTTCCTTTCCCGTTCCCTGCGATTTTCAGCCAGCGTGGTGGGTGAAAGGGAGGCTGCAGAGTAATTGCACGGGTGCGCGTGGTGGATGCGTTGCGAAAGATGTGTCGTGTGCTGTGGCAAGATGCCTCCAGATTCGATGTTCCTTCTTCCAGAGGGGTCCAACTGGGGGGTCTTCCTATTGTTTTTTGAATCACGACTCAAAGGCGAATGGCCTTTAAGTTCCAGCTTGGGATGAGGAGACCATTGGTCAGCTTGCGCAGCTCTTTGTGCAGGACCCCAGCAGCCTCACCAAGCGGGAAAGCAAGGTGGAACTGGCCAGGAGGCACTTGACATCACCTGGAGCGACGTGGAGAACCTGAGATGGTACGACTAAGTCAATCACGACCATGTGCTGTCCACGTGAGCAAGGTAATTGATTCAGAAGCCTCACACAACTTATTGACTGTCCTGTGTAGAGTTATGTAATATTGGCCCAACGTCCTTGGAGGATCAGTTGGCCGAGCATCACTGTGCCTGGATGTCTTGCCATCTTCCTACAATTATGTTTAACTATTGAATTGAATTGATGCATACTTTGACAAGGTAAGCAGCCAGAAGTGATCAGAAGTGAACACATTGGCACTCACTTCGTTGACTTCCTTGTGGGCCAGACAAGCCACTTTTTCAAACGCGGAGACGTTTTTGATCCTTTTTGCTTCTTCCTGCAGGGGCCATGACTTCCTCCAATGGCTCAGCGGACGCCCTGAGAAGGAGATTGTGGTGGGCACCCATTCGGTGTCTTGGCAGAAAGAAAACCAAGAGAGGTTGAGAGAGACCTCCTTATGGTACCAGAAGTACGGGCACAGATTATTACAGGACATGCGAGAAAATATGGGATGGGCCAATAAGGCTGTTCAACCTCTGCAAGAACGAGGAGCCTTTTGGTTTTTGAGGTTTGGTCAGAGAGAGCTATATGCCTGGATATTTTCCCCTTGGATTAGAGAGCTACCTTTGAGCTCCAGGGAGTTTAGGAACAGCAGATGGGGCACGAAGTAGCTCCGAAGCATGGCGTCCGATCGAAGACATTGGAAAGCCCATGAGTCACGACACGTGAAACGTCGTGAAATCACACAAGCCACCCAACAGGATGCAGGAGATGCAGGATCCAGACACTGTGGCAGTTAGGTGAAGGTCTCAACCCCAGCCCTCGAGCCACTAAGCCCTCTTTTTGATCATGATCTTCGATGGTTTGAGTAAGATGAGGAGCGTATCCATTTTTGAGTGGAAAGTTGTTCCCAACCTCAATCAAATCGATGACTGATGGAGGACCTAGAATTGGCGTCGTACCTGGGCGTTGAGCAATGGAAGAAAGTGAGGCTTTTTTGATGGGTGTCTTCCACATCGCTTTGGAGATCGAGGATGAGTCGATGAAGAACTTCTTTAAGACAGGCAAGGGGCGGGGCTGGCTGTGTTTCGTGAGTTGCCTTAGGCACGCCCCAGCAGGGGCCCGATGTTTGGGGATGTTTGGGGATGTTTTGCCGCAAAACCTATAGTGGTCAACCTTTTTCAGGAAGCTTTTCCTCTTCAATCCTGTTGGGATATGTTTGGAAGATTTTCGGTTTCCTTGCCAGTTGGAAAACATCACATTGAACTTTCGTTCCTGGATTCTCCTGGCCCCAGCCGGCCGTGTGCTGCGCGTGCTGCGCGTGCCGCTGCGCGAGACCTGAGGAGAGCTGCGCTCCGTGCTCCTCGAAGTCCAGGCCCTTCGGGGGGATCGCCCAAACATGAGGCTTCCAGGTAAGATGCATCTAGCAGACTCCAAGCCAGTCCTGGAAGTGGACAACCACTGGATTTCATGTGGCAAGACGTCTAGTCGTTCTTTTTGCGGTTTGGCCATCTCTTTTTTCCCCACCAGTGCAGTACTAATTGAAGTTGACATTACGACTCACTGGGAAAGGAGATGATGAACAGCGCTACGCCGTACGCCTCCCTCGACGCTTCGAAAAACCCTACATTCACGACAAGAGAATACAAGATATAATATATAGTGACGGAAGTGACGGACTGAAACTTCGAGTGACGTTATATATACAGTGATGGACTATACAGTATATATCTACAGTGTAGTATCAGTATAGGTGGATCTCTATCTATTTGTACATTCATTGCCAAGTAGACACGGCCCACGGCCCCTCTGAACGGCCCACGGGGCCCTCGGGCCCTTGGACACCGCCACCAGGCCGAGCAGAGCGCCTCAGACTGGAAACTGGTGGACCTTCCCCCCCTCCAAGACACACGGAAGTGAAGTAGTTCACCACCTGTTTGGTATGCAGAAAAGGGGAGCTTCACGAAGGCATTTCGCCGGTGTGGTGTTCATTCGCATTGGGGAAAAAGCAACATTTCTTCGGTGCATGTTCGCCCCAGACTAATGATGTAAGCAGTTGAATTATCCAAACCGGTGCTTGTCTTACGGGAATCCTTTGAACAGTCCGTGTTGAATGGGCAAATGAGACACATCAACAACCACCACTGATCCCGGCTGGGCTAAAAAGCCTCCTCCACTGTTATGGATCAACCGCTACTATTTTCCCCCCCAAAAGGGGCAGCCCTGCTAGTCGATCCTCTCCAGACACCTGAGACTGCTCTCAAACCCGACTGACCTTGTGGACCACAGCGGCTCGCGCTTTGAGGTGCGAAGCGGAGAAAGCTCTAAGACTGTGGAGAAAGCATCGGTTGGAGTGGACAAAAACGCTTGGCGAAAGCATCTTCCGAGCATCACTGGGGGTTCAAGTAACATGGTGGTTGGCACTTGTCTGCAGGGGATCATACCATTGAAACTATAGGAGAGTTGCGACACGAGGAGAATAGACCATGAGGGCGACCAGAAGTTCCACTGGGAGGATTCAGATCTTGTTGGAACTTCTTCCATCAACAGCAGTTGCCACGATAGCTGGACCATTAGACATTCCTCAATGAGGTGTTTGGAAGCTCTGGAAGACCGTGGTCAACCTGCATCCCCAGCACCGATGATAGAACCGTCAACCTCGGCTCGTGAGCCCCCAAACGGCTCGACGTCCGGACGAGGGCCATTTTCGGACCTGCCAAGGCCTCCCCCGCTAACCTCCCCTGACTTCGCCCACCGTTTCTCCGACCGAAGTCCGACTTCGGGGTGGCCGAAGTCGAGGATCGCCACACCGGTGGGTTCGCCCCCACGCAGCACCCGTCGTGCCAGTCTGGGGCGGGGGTCCCAGCAAAGCGTGTGGGTGTGTTGGCTGAAGCTTCAGTGTACATGGAACTCCGTGTTACATGGAACATCATGGAACATGGCCATTAGAGTTATAGAGGTTGGGTTTGTCCTAGGACACCTGTATCAGTCAGGAAACACACCACTATTTTTGAACTAGTTTGAACATGTTTGAACAAGGCCTTTGCAAATCATCCACTGTTACTGCTAATAGGATGGACCCAACCCATTAGAGCCATGGAGGGTTTGTTTTGAACCAAGTCCAGCACTGACCCTGCGATCATGCTGCGCGTGTGGCCTCAAACTTGCAGATCGCTCGTAGAGAACCAAGGTATGTGGATTTGTTTTCTTACAGCATCAGATGAACCAATCTCAGGATACTGTAAGAAGGAGAGGGATACTGTAAGAAGTATCTCAGGATACAATATTTGTGGATTTGTTTTCTTGTCTCATACATTCATACTTCTCCCGGGATACTTGATTCATCAGGCTTTTCCTCACCCATACAAACAGATCGAAAGAGAACCCCACGCTCGCTTTTGACACAGCAGAACTAGCGGTAACTAGCAAACGGTCATCGAGGGTCATGAGTTTTTCACAGACTCCTGTGATTGCATACCGGTTGAATATCTGGGTTTTCCATTTTATTTTCCATTTTATAAGGAAGAGATGCCGCAATAGAATGGTGATTATATAATCCTATTAATAATAGGATTATATAATCACCATTCTATTGTGGCATCTTCACGGGGTATGTTTTCTTGTCACAGACGCACAGAAGCCGACCGGTTCTGACCTGTTCTGCTGGCATCGTGCAGCTGGAGAGACACCAGACATGCGGGAAATTGAGAACAAGATGAAAGGAGGGAAGAGATGTTGCCAGTGACTGCCCAGTAAGTCGAAACAAGTTCCAAAGAGATCCTTCATTCCCATCCACTTACTTGCTGGCCAATGACTCTGGATACTGGCGGAACAGTCATTTCATGATTCATGCCATTTGCAACGTGACAGATTCCATTCCTGAAACGGATGCCATCATATGCAATCCTTTTCTGCGCTGCAAAACACAGCCACCACATTCCAAAGACCATCTGCGCTGCGGAGCGAGCTTTCCAGCGACGTGCCTGACGAATTCAGCTTCCAATGGTGACTGCCTGACAGAATCAAAGCACACACAGCTGGGCCGCTGGGCCGCTGGGATGGGTCTTTCTCGACCCGGTCGTGCGTCTTTCGGCCCAGGAGGTGGGGGAGAAAATCTCCGCCAGGAGGGAGATTTCATCGATCTCATGGAGGAGATCGCCATGGAACCTGAACACAGGATTTTTTAAATAGAACGTTATATATATAGTATAATATATATATATATAACTTATATATATAACTTATATATATATATATAACATATATATATATAACTCAATATCTTGGAACTGATGCGTGGTGTTTTTTCTGTGTAGATGCTGATTACCTCTCCATATATATATATATCTTTTTTCCATCTTTTTCCCTTTGGTTATATAGGTTCGGGTCATGTCGACTCCTTTCGTAAGAAAAACCACCCCTCATGCCGCATGCCCGGTTCACTTGCTTCGTTCGACGATGTGAAGGCGGCTCTTCTGTTCCTCGGGGGTTGATGGTTGAATGAAACGATAGAATGACAGGGAAGACTGATGGTTGACTGTAGATGGTTGAGAAGTTGAAGAAACGATGGTTGATGGTTGAATGACAGGGAAGATCCCTGTTTGAGAAGAACTTCTTTGTAGAAGACAGGATGGTTTTGGAGTTCTTGAGTCCCAACCCGGATGCTGCCGGGCGATATGTGAGAGATCGACTGCTGCTGGGTTAGTTAGAACACACACACATTATTCCCCACATGCAATTCATTGCAACAGCAGTGAGTCGTTCTTGGTTCCCCGTCATATCCGAGCCCCAAACGGCAAGCCGAGCCAACCGAGCCAGCGGCTGGACACTGGCGCTGTTAAGGTAACCTGGTGCTCTGGTGTTCATGCCCAAAGATGGCAGGCCAGGAGTGTTTCATCCTCCACTGGAGTGACTGCGGCGTTCCAGGGCTTACCGTCCCTGGGCTGGCCTTTTTGTGATGGGCATCAATATGGATAATGCTCAAGCTGTTTGTACATAATTGTTCTAACTATATGGATGAGCTTTCTTTGCCTCCGTACTTCAGCATGATTGCGGCTTAGTGGGGCAAGTTCAGATTAGAGTTTGCAATCAGAGCTCGGAGCTTTGCAACTCGTGGGGGAAGAGCTTCATCCGAGATCCACCCCGCCGTTCGACGACAACAAGATGGTTTGATGGATGAAATGATGAAACCAAGTTGCTAGAGGAACGTAACTTAACACGGGGAAGATTCTAAGACTCAGAAACAGCTGGGGGTGAACAGCTGAACCTTCTGCTGCCGCAGTCAGGAGCTGGGGGAGGTCTTCCATCAGCACCATAGCCCCAAGATGCCTCCGAACATGGTTCTTTTCTTCACTGCAAACATGAGCGTGCACCCTCGTGTGTATATACCCTTTCGACATCCCTACCCCCTTAAGCTACTGCCGGCCGGGGGGACCTTAAAACAGTAAGTTACATTTTAGGGTACCCCCCTGGGGTCAAAAAATATAAGTTACCCTCCCCTAGGCACAATCGAAACGGGTAAAGGGGGGGGGAGCAAAAAAATGTAACTTGCTGCCTGGGACGTGCTTACTTACATTTTGCAACCCCCCCCATAGTGAAAGAGTGACTAGGGCGTACACGGTTGAGGTGCAGACCGCTAGTGTCTTTTATGCGCAGAGTCTTATCCTCTTGTCTTCTTGAGCCTTATGGCAGTCAAGTATGGACACACTAGATAGGCCACTGGAGTGGAACCTGTACAAGTAGGCCTCTACATTTCAGCAGGCACAAAATTCATGTCCACTCCTGCCTATTGCGTATGTCGCACACTATTTTTCTACCGCAAGGCTAAAACAGTCCAGCAAGCTCTAGTAAGCTTAAAAGGAAACCACGGTGCCCTGTACTTACCAATTCCAGTGTTTTTCTCACTTTAGAAAAGGTAATCTCTAGGTATACTAAATACAGTGAGGGAGCTATAGCTTACTCGCCTCAAATACAAAGTCAAAGACAATGTATCTCGGCTGGAGACTGTATCGTTCACCGGCGAAGATACCATGTACCGGCGCTCAAAAGCCCTTAAATAGCCAGAGCTTCAAAGAAACTATAAATTCAAAGGAAAGCGGCTTTCTTACACAGAGACCTGTAAAAGCAGTAAACGACACTCGCGCAACGAAGAACTAAAATTTCAAGACCGCACAAACTGCAATGAATTAAGATGCCTTGCAAAATGCAAGGAGCGTCAACTTTCGGTCCGAGGAATGGTCTTCTCGAAAAGTGGTCTCGGCCGCTTCCATACACAGGACTTAAATCAAAATGGAGCTGCATCAAAAGGACTCTTTCTCATTGACATCAAAAACAAAAAGGAAGGAGACACCGGCAAATGTATGTACAAAACTTGCACTACAAATGCAAACTTATGAAATGACTTAATCATCAACCATAAATGGTTGTCCATTAGAGGTCATTTCATCAGAGCGGCTATGGTAGTTATCATCAGCTATGAAAAACTGTCCATACCTACCTGCAGATAATAACCGTTTAAGAAACTGTATTTATCTGCATGCTAAAGCTTATAAACCTAGAATGCAGGAGTATCTTCTTTTACAAAAAGTTTCTCCTTGTTGCAAACCATGATTCATTAAAACTTCAGCCTGGCAACTTAAAGTCAAGCCTGGAAGCAAAGTATCAACTGTGATCAGAAGTATCTTCACTTCCTAGCTATCATTAAAAGTTAGCCTCCGCTCTGAGTTTTATGCCGCTGCAGTCGATGGAGCTGCTTGATCAGAAGTTGGCGGCCTTCCTTTCCTTTTATTCTCCTTCTGTCTCTCCTTCCTCCGCAAGTTAGCATCTCGAAGAGTCTCGCCCGAGCGATAAAGTCTTCTGTCTCCAGATGAAAAGGAAGCTGGTCTGAGTGAAATCAACATTGGACCATGACTGTCATCGTCAGAGGGTTTGGAGCGCATAACCTCCGTGTCGATCAAAGCAAAGTTCTCTGAAAAATTACAGACGAACTCCTTCGTGCTCACTGTGGAATTTGAATATTCCTCTCCAATGACCCCATTCAACAATGGTAGACAAACATGTATCGCCAAGCTTTGATCCCTGGTACACTTCTCTCTCTTCTGTAGAGTATTCTTCCCAGAGTTTCTCAAAGTAATCTTCACACTGCTTGAGGACATGTGAAGATGAACTGTAAAATGTTCTGGGAATAGGTGCTTTGATACCAGGATCTGCTTTTACACGGGCTTCTGAAAACCTGCGGATCCAATGCTGCATGGTGCTGTAATAATAGTTAGCCATTGGTTGCCTTTTGTACCCAGACATTCTGTAGGCCAAACTATTTGCATCACCAG